TCGTGTAGGTTTTTTCATTGTATCTTTTCCACTACTAGTCTCTTTTCTTCTCGCACTAGTTCTAATATTCATTTATATTTTTATGAACATGCCTTCATTGTGTTGGTTCTCTAGATATTTTTTCCCTTGTACACTTTATTTTTTGTAGTTTGATTTCTTGTATCATATTAGGGAAATAAGATTGAAGTTAGAGATGGTAAAGTTTTTTTTTTTTATTTGTTTTAGGTCAAGAATTACTATTTATCCATGTTAACTTTTCAATCTATTTTTTCTTATATCTAATTCCCTCCCTCCAAAGTATATGATCGAGTTTGAATTATCTTCAATCCCCTTTTTATAAAGTTTCTTCTAGTTAAGAGAAAAATGGTTGCTTAGAAGTTCCTTTGCTCTGGAAGTGTCCATTCTACTTTCGTAACATGCTAATCTCTTCTATTATGTTTTGCTTATGAGCTTAATATTATAATTTATGTTATCAATAGCATATAAGTTTCTTTATTTTTTAAGGTTATGCAGTAATTGAGTAATAAATTTATTAGTTTCATTGCAAAAATCTTTCTTGTTCTCAGTATACTTTTTGAAAAATGCTATATTTCTATTTAAGCAGATCTAATCTTGTTAATGACAACCTTTGTTCCAATATATAGATGTATTGAGATTTGTCCTTGGAGTTTATTTCAGGACTTAAAAATATTATGTTCGTGTTAGTTGTGTTCGTAGTTGAGATAGCCTTGAAAAATATTAGCTTGACTGTGGTAAATGCAATGATCAATGATACTCATACTATTTTGAAATGAAAGTCATATTGGATGATTGTTGTTTACTACTTTGATATGTTGTGTTTTGCTTATAATTTCGCATGAATAATGGGAAATAATTCTTCTGTTTGATGTAATGTCCAGGCTACCTTTTTTAGTTGCTTTTAGGAGTTCCTTTTGGGTCTTCAATTTTTTAGTCATATTTAATATCACCACTGAAATTTTGGTGATAAACTTTTGAACAAGTCATTTTGCTAATTAGGGAACTAAATTGATGCAAGGCCCTTAGGATTTTGGGTTTCTAATGCAATTTGAATGGTGTAATAGGTGTTGATGATATGAAGTAATTTAGGATTCACATATCAAAGTTCAATCAATGCGTAAAACTTCTTTAAATGCAAGTTAAAAAGTATAAGAAGTTGAACCATAATAGAAATGTAACAATTGATTAAAGCTTTTTTGGTTCTTTTAGTTAATGATTTATGGATTGAATTTCACTCAACCCATGGTTGGGAACGAATGATTGGTTCGATCTACAATGATTTTGGATTGACTCTGATTGATCATATTTTATCTGGTCTTATTCCACTTTTCCAGTGATTCTAGATACAATTGTGAAATATTAGATCTTCTATTTTTTAAATTGTGTATCTTCTTTGCTTGTAGTAATTTATCATTCAATGAATGAATAATTCATTAGATCTTTTGATATCAATAAAATCAGAACCTTATCTCAAAGAAATTAATAAAAAAATGAACCACAAAGTAGCAAGCAATTTAAATTTTATGCTATATTTGAAAATCTAATTTTGACCAAAATGAGGACTCTTTCATTATCAATAAAATAAAAATAGAGAGTGAATATGTAATTGTAAGAGATCGCTATAGCGTAGAAGATTTTGGCCTTACACCAATACGAGGAGATGATTTCTCCCAAAACTGAGTAGCCACACTTCACCACAATTTAAGAAATTTCAAATCTAAAGGGCACATAAGATTAAAAATTGAAAACTAGAATATCACTCAATAAAAGCAAAATTTACATGCCTCAAACCATCTATTTATTGAAATTCATAAATCTTAATATATAATTGATTAAAGCTTTTTTGGTTCTTTTAGTTATTGATTTATGGATCGGATTTCACTCGATCCGTGGTTGGGAACAAATCATTGGTTCGATCTACAATGATTTTGGATTGGCTCAGATTGAGCATATTCTATCTGGTCTTATTTCCACTTTTCCGATGATTCTAGATACAATTGTGAAATATTGGATCTTCTATTTTTTAAATTGTTTATCTCCTTCTCTTGTAGTAATTTATCATTCAATGAATGATTAATTCATTAGATCTTTTGATATCAATAAAATCATAAACTTAATTTAAAGAAATTAACAAAAAATTGAACCACAAAGTAGCAAGCAGTTTAAATTTTATGCTACATTTGAAAATCTAATTTTGACCAAAATGAGGATTCTTTCATTATCAATAAAATAGAAATAGCAAGAAAATATGTAATTGTAAGAGATCACTATAGCGTAGAAGATCTTGGCCTTACACCAATACGAGGAGATGATTTCTCCCAAAATTGAGTAGCCACACTTTACCACACTTGAAGAAATTTCAAATCTAAAGGGCACATAAGATTGAAAATTGAAAACTAGAATATTACTCAATAAAAACAAAATTTACATGCCTCAAACCATCTGTTTATTGAAATGCATAAACCTTAATGTATATAGTTGACACAAATTCAGCCATGTTTAATTCTACTACCCTAAAATTCAAGTCTCAGTTTTCATGCATAGGTATCTAAGCTAACAATCACAAATTTATGACAAAATCCTCAAATTTAAACAACTTGTATATGAAGCAAAAAGCTATATATTTCATTAAAGTGACAATTAGAGATCTCACACATGAAGCCACCGAGAAATTCTTATCCATAGCTCATAAAGTTGCTACAAAGGCAAATTACTTGAGCTATTAGGCCAAAAGTATCACAAATAGTAATTAAGTGATCTATTAAAAGAATGAGTTGCAAATAGCCATAAGGCAAAACATCTTGGGGTGTAAAAGAGTCGAGTTTGAGCAAGCCCAAGGCTTGTTCATGTTCAACTCGTTGAAATTTTTTTGTTGTTTCTGTTCAGCTTGGGTTCAAAATGACTCGTGAACAACCTATTTGTATTTAGCTCGATTTAAATTCATTTGTTCAAACTAAGCTCGTGTTTAGTTTTTGTTTTAAGTTAAAAAAAATTATTATTTTAAATAAATTATTAAATAATGCCACCTACTTTACACATTTTCACAACCTTCCATTGTTTCGTTGCTTCACACATGAATAATTTCGTTTGCTTTAGGCTCTGTTTGGCGCAGCTGCAGGTCCCAACTTTTCATCTGCAGCTGCGCTATCCCAGGAAGCTACTGCGGGGAAGCTGGCTGTCTGTTTGGTGCAGCTGCGCGAAAACAGCTGCAGAGCATTTGTTTCTGGAAAAATGATCATTCTGCCCTTGTTTGGTAAAACTGTTTAAAAGAGGACTGTAATAGTAAAATTTTTGAAACTCCAAAAGCAAAATTTATTATGTAATAAATTAATGAAACTTCAAAGTTTTAATTATGTAATAAATTTAATTGTTGGGTAATTAAAGTGTTCTCAGCTTTCCTACTAACATGATGTACTCAAACACAAAGTAACGTATACTCAACTTCACATATGTCCGAATTTAATGAAAGGCAAAACAATGATTGTATAGGTCTGATAGAGAGAATACCAAATGCAACAGTAGATCAACTTTAAAGATGCATTACACAGAAAATCTTCAAGATAGCTAAACAATAGCTTAAATTTAAAAAAATGCACTTCTCCACATTTTGAAAGCATAGGCCTAGGGGAACAAGTGTGATAGAGAGAATACCAAATGCAACAGTAGATTAACTTTAAAGATGCATTACATAGAAAATCTTCAAGATAGCTAAACAATAGATTAAATTTAAAAAATTGCACTTCTCCACATTTTGAAAGCATAGGCCGAGAGGAACAAGTAGCCCGAGAGCAACAAATAATCTTTTTCATTAATGAACATCAAATAACTTTTCAAGAAAACAACAAATAACCTTTTTTTTAGATAAAAGCCACTGCCAAATCCGAGAGCAAGGGTAGTATTGTAGAGAAGAATATCGAATATATCATAATTTGATTTTGGGAGGACTGATACGGGAATGAGGAGCATTGATATATATAGATTTCGAAGCATAGCCCGTAGCGTTTTAATACCATTATATTTGCATTTCAACCATCTCATGAAATGGCTCCATAGCACCCGAAAAACATCCCAATGTATCCAACATTTAAATGCACTTCTCCACAGTAGATTACATAGAACATAGTACTGGTAAGAAATAGATTTCCTAGAACATATTAGTGGTAAGAAATGCATAGTAATGTACTAATCCAAATACATTTTCGTATTGTCATACTACATAGAACAAAAAGTAAATTTTTTTTTCATATGTAGATCAACTATGAGCAAGGAAAAGAGATCCTTCTTGTAACCACTTCGCAGAAGAGGAAAGGGAGGAGTAGAGACGCAAGGGAGACTCGGGAGAGAAAGTGTTCGAGATGCATATACCTTGATTCGTATGGGAGAAGAGGAAAGGGAGGAGCAGAGGAGCAAAGCATCTTTTTTTCGCACAAGGGGGCGCCGAAGAGGACACTTAGGGCAAAAGTGTCGCGAGGGTAAAGGTAAGAAATATTAGAGGCGAACGCGGGGCCGTGGGCTTGATCCTGCGGCCGGCTTCCCGAAAGCTTCAACACACCGCCCCCGTGAAGTTGCGAAACAAACAGGAGTAATAAAATGCACAAAGCGGTTTGGGGCTGCGCCGCACAAAAAAACGCGACCCCAAACATACCCTTAAAGTGCTTTTATCACATAAAAAGTCCGGATGTGGGAAACAAACAAATCAAAACTTGCATTTGTATGTGGCTGGAATATTCCAAGGGACTTTTACATTCATACCACCCAATTCTTATGTGTTTACATGGTCTATCACCTAAATGCAGCCACACAAGTGTGACTGGACTGATAGGGTGGGGGTAATTTTCTAAGGGAATTTTCATACATACTACTCAAATCTTATGTATTTACTTATCTAACACATATGTTTATATATTTTATAATTATACAATCCGAATAATTTTTAAAAATAATTAAATATAACTTTTTTTAAATACAGTATAAATTGTTAATATAAAAAAATGTAAATAAATATTATTATTTAATTATTTAATTCTTTCAATTTAAATCGAGCTGAACATGAACGGGCAAACCTTTGTTCGTGTTCGGCTCGTTTGCTCAATGAACAAATCTAACACGAGCTACTTAACTAACCAAACACGAGTTGTCCCTGAATTACATGCTTTTTGACTGTCCTAACAACATCCATAAACCATAGAAGAGTAGATTTCCATGTGATTTTTAAAGTCCAAAACAGTGAGCATAAACAACGCATGGAAGCCCACAACATTTACAAAGTGAAATTAATTCATCATAGGCATGCACAAAATAGAATGAAAGTGAATACTATGAAATGAAACAACTACCAAATAATGGAAATAAATAATTTTTGCACAAATCTTTTATTTCTCAACATTGCCATTGAGTATATGAAGTTGCGGTTCTCCATCATAAAATGAATGATATAATATAGTTATTCTTGCTTAGAGGTTCATATTAAGATTTGGTCCAAAAATGTTTTATGCATTTTTTAATGAAGGTATTTATATTGGGTTTGTTTTTTTTTCTTTTTTATTTCCATTTTCTTTCTAGAGCTTTGTTCAGCCATTTGGTCCACCTGTGGTCTTATCCTGGAAAACTGTATACATCAATTGGGCACAAATAGCAACGAATGCATTATTGAGTATTTTTTGAATTTTTTCACTAATAGCATCTGCAGCGCTCTTTACCACAACTATTGTAAATTATAACCTGTAGTCTGCATTCTCTTCTTTTTGTGGCAGATTCATGAAACCTTTTGCTAACACCAATTTTTTCCTACAAAGCTACGTGATTCTCCTCTCATGCTACTTTTCCTATCAAAATGTAAATCATAGAAAACCATTGTAAACTCTATATTTTATAGTTTTTATTGTTTTTTCAAATATGCAATTTGTTTTTTTAGCAACTTTTTTTCGTGACATTGATCTACATTCTATTACACGTATTTTGCCCATTTTACAATGTGTTTAAGATTTAAAATATTTGTTTCTCTGATTGCCTATGTCATATCTTTCAGCATCATTCTCAGTTGTAAATTATAAAAAGGTTTCACTTTTTGTTGTTAAAACTGATATCTTATTTCGGTAGATTCTATGGATTAGGTTTCTGTAACCTAATTATATACAGTTTTATCTGTAGGGTACAGTTCATCTGAAACCTACTGAGATGGTTGACCACTTAAGAAAGGGATTGGGTATATTCGGGCAGGTTTGTCTCCACTAATTCGTTTGAAAGCTCATTATATTTTAACCAAGAGCATTTAGATTGAGACTGGATAGTTTTTGCTTTAATAGATAGTTTACATCGAAGAGATTAACGAAAGATTGGCTGTCTATGCGGATGTTCCCAGTAGTCTTGCAGATGTTTCGAAGGCAGCTCTGACGAGGGTTGGAATAACCAAATTATACAGCCATCAGGTATTGTTGTAATTTTTCACTCTATTTTATGAGTAGTTCTGTAAAACTAGCCATTGTTTACCTTTCCTTTTTAGCAGGCTGAAGCTTTACGATCTTCTCTTTCTGGAAAGAATGTTGTTGTAGCTACATCAACTTCTAGTGGAAAATCCCTTTGTTACAATATTCCTGTTATTGAGGCGCTCTCAAAAGATTTGGAGGCCTGTGCTCTTTATATATTTCCAACGAAGGTAACTTATCTTTTCCTTCTTTTCATAATATAAACCAATATTATATGATCCGAAGTGAGAGTCATGAACGAAGATATTCCTGTTGCATGAATAATGAACAGATTATTGGTTTTTTTTTTCTGGTGCAATACATTTTTTCGTGCAGGCGTTAGCACAGGATCAAATGAGAGCGTTGTTAGAGATGACAAGTGGGTTGGACGTTGGCTTCAATGTCAGTATCTATGATGGGGATACTGCTCAAATGGATCGTACGTGGATACGTGATAATGCTCGAGTGGTATGTTGGGAGATTCTTGATGTTTCAACTGCTTGTGATTTTTCTCTACATTTTTTGGGGCATTTACATATATAGCACACAATTCTAATATTTTTACAATTCTCACACCTAAACTTTCATAATTGCATTCATAGGACTCAAACTTTTAATATCTCATAAAAAATAGCACTATTGCCACTTTTAAAAGTGAAATACACCTTATCATGCATAGGTTTAAAACATCAAAGATGAAAGTTTAGATGTGAGATATGTAAATAAATAAGATTTGTATGCTAGGTATGTAAATTTCCGCTTTTCTTTGGTCTTAAACAGATGTCCATCACTGCAGTTGATTACAAACCCGGACATGTTGCATACGTCGATATTGCCCTATCATGCAAAATTTCAGCGGATTTTATCCAACCTCAGGTAGTATGTCCACATCTCATAATGGTTTATTTCCTTTTGTGGAATATATAAATTATGCTCTTGTTGCGTGTTGGTAAATTTGTGGCGATAGAGTGATACATTAGATCTGACACTCACATTTGTAAAAAGAAATCTACAGAAAGACTGGGAGTTTTGACATGAAAAAACTGAAGATGCAAAAACCACAGTGTCTGACCTAGTTAATGATTCCACTATGTCGATATAAGTTACAGAATTTTACACACCCTTAATTGGTCGGGTGCAAATTTTTACAAGCAATATGATTTTCTCTTGGGGAGCGGCGTAATATCCCAAGGAAATGACGGTGTCTTGACGACAGTTGTTCGGCGACAGCTATGGCGATGACTACTGCGATGACCTTGCAATGGTGCTCCGATAGCGGTAGGAGCTGCAATCATGTGGTGGTGGTCCGAGGCGTTGTTGTTGCGAGATCTATATATACTAGTTGATGTGGTATATATATAAATTAAACAGGAGAACGATCGATGAAGTGAAAAATAGAACGAGAAAATCATACCAGAAAAAAACAACACAGCGTAACACATAGATTTACGTGGTTCGGCAAGTTGCCTACGTCTACGAAGTTGCAGAGGATTTTATTACTTGAGGAATTTACGCCAGTCGATCACCTCGACTTACAAGAGGAAACTCTCACTCTTTGTTGCTCTCTCTCTCTTCTTCCCTCTCTATTCTTCTTTCTCTATACCGGGATATACTGAAGAAAACTCTACACCGAGATACTCCGAAGAAGACAAACTTACAAGAGATTTAAACCTAATTTCTCTTATGCCATAAGCCACCAAGAAGAAGCCTAAGGAGAACAATCTTCTTCTTCTTTCTTCTTCTTCCTTCTGCCGCAAGGAACTGCTCCTCCTTGCACTTCTCTTTCTCTGCCCCGAGGAAACCTTCCTCTATCCCGAGGAAATCGAAGAAGAACTCAAAGCGTGACTTCTAAACCCAAGAAGAGTCATCCGAAGCTTTTATCACGAACAAGAGGGAGCGAAGAGATGCTTCACTTCACAAAAGAGGAAGAAGAGAGTGATTATTTGTGAAGAGGTGTGACTCTTCAAAGCAAAGTAACCACCCAAGCATAGTGGACTGGGCTCCATCGTTTTTAATAATTCTCCCACTTGGAGACCGGTACACAGGCTGTAATATTTCCTTCCTCAAACTGATATCCTCCACTGGCGGTGTCACCTTTTTCTTCAACTTGTATCCTCCACCTTGAATCCTCCACCTCTACAACTCAAAACATCTTTCTTCATTCCAGAAGACCAACTGAAGCTTTGCACAACTTCAGTTTCTCAAGAGTAATACACTCAGTCAACATATCAGCAGACTCAACACAGCTTTGCTCATCCAAGCCATTTCCAGGGTCATTCTTGTCTCATCTTACAACTCCCACCGCATGGGCAACATCCTGCCTCTGCTGAAAGCCTTTTTCAACAAGTCTAGCCTAGTACCTCTTATTGACATCACACTCAGTATTCACCTGGTACACCCACTTGTTGTGTAATGCCTTCTTCCTTGGTGGAAGTTCTGCCAGCTTCACTTGCTCGAACTTTCATCTTGCAAGCTTTCTTTATAGCTCTGTGGATCTTCAACATTTGTCTGTTGAACAATAGGAATGGGTGCCCTGGACCCACTTTCCTCTTCACTTCCATCACTCCCTTGCACTGTGACCTCTTGTAGATTTCCTACCACATTCAAAGCCCCTGAATCCAATATCAAGTCTTCAACAGAACTATGAACTGCCAACAATAGTACATGCTGTGATTCTTCAGATACCACATTTGCGCTATCATTCTTCATCTTCCTAGGATTCCTGCAGTTCCTCTTTATGTGGTCAGCCTTGCCACAATTCCAACAGGTTTCCTACTTACTAAACTTTGATTTTGATCTTCTTATACTTGAGTTTCTGTCATATCATATCTCTCTGAAATCAACATTCAGTGCCGAACTCGAACCTGAGACCTCGTCAGAATCTTTTCTGCTAACTTTCTCAGCCAAAATCAAATCAGGAATATCATCGTATTTCAATTTATATTTACCTGCAGAACTGCTAACTGCTATCCTCATGGTTTCCCAACTATCTGATAATGAAGCCAACAAGATCAGTGCACATATCTCATCATCAAAATTAATTTCCACAGACGACAATTGATTTGTGATAATATTGAAAACATTTAAGTGTTGAGCAACAGAAACATCTTCCGCCATCTTCAAATTGAATAACTTCTTCATCAAGTGCACCTTATTATTCGCCGATGACTTTTCATACATACCTAATAAGGTTGTCATGAGATATATAGTTGTCTTTCCTTGATGACGATGTGTGCAACGGACCTCGATAGGGTCAATCGAATAATCTTCAAAACTTGTCGATCCAACAAATTCCATTCAGCCACATCCATCCTTTCAGGTCTTTTCCCCAATAACGGAAGATGAAGTTTCTTCTCATAAAGATAATCCTCTATCTGCATTCTCCAATAACCAAAATCTGTTCCATCAAACTTTTCGATCCCTGAAATCTTCACTTCATCTGCAGCCATTATTCTTCCTCAGATCCGAAACCATGCTCTGATATCAGTTGTTGTTGCAAGATCTAGATATACCAGTTGATGTGGTATATATATATAAATCAAACACGAGAACGATCAACGAAGTGAAAAATAGAACGAGAAAAATCACACTAGAAAAGAACAACACAACGGAACACACAGATTTACGTGGTTCGGCAAATTGCCTAAGTCCACGGAGTTGCAGAGGATTTTACTACTTGAGGAATTTACACCAGTCGATCACCTCGACTTACAAGAGGAATCTCTCACTCTTTGTTGCTCTCTCTCTTCTTCTCTTTATGTTCTTCTCTCTCTATACCAAGATACACCGAAGAAAACTCTACACCGAGATACACCGAAGAAGACAAACTTATAAGAGAAATAAACCCAATTGCTCTTCTTCCACAAACCACCAAGAAGAAGCCTATGGAGAACAATCTTCTTCTTCTTCCTTCTTCCTTCTTCCTTCCTTTTGCCGCAAGGAACTGCTCCTCCTTGCACTTCTCTTCCTCTGCACCGAAGAAACATTCCTCTATTCTGAGGAAATCGAAGAAGAACTCAAAGCGTGACTTCTAAACCCAAGGAGAGTCATCCGAAGCTTTTATTACGAACATGAGGGAGCGAAGAAATGATTCACTTCACAAAAGTGGAAGGCGGGAGTGGTTATTTGTGAAGATGTGTGACTCTCCAAAGCAAAATAACCGCCCAAGCATAGTGGACTGGGCTCCACCGTTTCTAACACGAGGGTGGCGTTCCGACAGTAGGGTGGTGGTCGGGTTGCTATGGTCTTTCGGCGGCGGTGGCTGAGCAACGGTGGTTAGGTGGTAGTGGTGGTCCGACTACGTCAGTGCCTCAACGGTGGTGGCCCGAAGACGGTGGAACTTGGGAATCCTCAGGATCTTGGTTCTCTCTCCAGCCTTATCTTCTCAGTCTAGGTCCCAAATCCCCCTTTCAAGAAAGGTGTGGGGGTCCATTCATAGATTTTGTGATTAATATCATCTGTAAATACTGCATGAATCTGGAATACTCTATCGAACGACTATAACAATATCTTTGATCAGATGAATATTCTATGAGTATTTGAGTGTCTTAATGATTTCAAAATCGAGTGATCTTGGGCTTGTTGGATTCAGCTCGACGAGACGCTCGATTTGACTATAAATTTGTCATATTTGGAATCTATTTAATCATTCAATTGCCCCTCTAAGACCTCCAATTGCGCTTAAATGACTTGATCGGACTCAGATTGAACCCCAAGTTTGGCTTCATTGGGCTTGCCTTGTTGAGGTAGTCTGTTTGACTATACATTTGATGAAACCGGAGCTTAGATAATCATGAATTCATATTTGGAATTGTTCCTTGCTCAAAATATTTTGATATTCATGCATGATAATTTTTTTGAGGATGTATCAGCTCTATTTGTTGATTATATATATATATAT